AGTGCTGATATCCTGATAAAACCCCTTTCTACTCTCAGATTCCTTGCTCTCAGAGATCACCTAAGGGTTGTTGACAAGTCTTCTATTGTCAATGAGCATCCCAAGACAGGAAGCACCATTTGAAGGGGAAATAATAGAGTTGTTGGAAATGATTTATATTTTAGGAATATCTTCTTATATCTTTTAGATCTTTGTTAGAGGATGTTTTAGTATTTTATTATACCCTAATTTTGTGTATAAATAGCCTAGTAGTAGGTAGGTCAATATAATTCATTGTAAATTAATTATTCCTTATTCTGTAGTCGTCATTAAATATATTCCTTTTATCTTTCATCTCTCCTTGTGCACCAACAATTGGTATCAGCGCCTGGTTTGAAATCCACAGGGAAACACGAGTGAATAGTGAGGTTGCAATTTTCTGATTCTGTAAACACTATTTTTATTGAGTTTTTGCGCAAATTGCACAAGGTTGAAGATGAACGGAAATAGCGATATAAATTCCAAGATTCCAGCGTTTGATGGCAAAAACTGGAATCGTTGGAAAATCCAAATGTGTGTGTTGTTTGGTTCTCAAGATGTGTTAGATCTTGTCACTGATGGTTATGCTCTGTTAGAAGCAGACGCAACAGAGGCGTAGAAGATAACGCGTAAGGCGTTAAGGAAGAAAGATCAGAAGGCATTGTTCTACATCCATCAATGTGTGGATGCGAACGTGTTTGAGAAGATAGCTGATTCTGAAACAGCAAAGGTTGCATGGGACACACTGGTCAGATGTTACAATGGTGACGCATCAGTGAAGAAGGTGAAACTTCAGTCTCTCAAAAAGCAATATGAGAATCTCAACATGAAGGACAACGAGAAGGTTTTTGAGTACATCTCTAGAGTGATTCTGGTCACTAATGATATGAAAGCTTGTGGAGAACTATTTATGAACAAGTAATCATTGAGAAGATCTTGAGATCTTTAACTTCTCAGTTTGATTACATTGTGGTAGAAATTGAACATTCCAAAGATCTGAGCACCATGAGAGTTGAAGAGCTTCAAAGAAGTCTAGAGGCGCATAAGTTGCGTATGATTGAGAGAACTTCTGAGAGGGAAGTAGAGCAGCAGGATCTGAAAGTAACTTCTGGTAAGAAGTTTCAGAAGCAGACTTGGTCAGAAGCCAAGAAGAAAACTAATGGTGGTCAATGGTCAGAAGCTTCAAACTCTGATAGGCAGAAGAATGTCCAGAAGGGAAAGGATAAGTTTGACAAGAAGAATGTTCAGTGTTACTGTTGCAAGAACTTTGGTCACTATGCCAGAGATTTCTAGTCGAACAAAGAAAGGAAGTCAGAAGAAGCAAATATAGCCAGAGGAGAGTCTGATGACGAACTTGTGCTATTTATGGCTTATAAATCTGATGAGGAACCGGTGAAATTTGTCATTTTCTGATTCTGAAGGGGAAGAAGATGACTCTGAATATTTTGACTCTGAAGGAGTGTTTGAATATGAGTCTGAATTAGAAGATGACACTGAAGATTTAGAAGATGAGTCAGAATCTGAAGATGATGACTCTGGAAACTCTGAAGGTGAGTCAGATGGTGAATTTGATTCTGATCCAGATTTTGATGATGATCCAGAATCTGGTGGTGATCATGCTTCTAGAAGTGAAAACACTGAAGACGTAGGTTATAGAGGACAAGATTCTAAAGATGATCGTGTTTTTGGTGGAAATCATGACTCTAAGGATGGACCTTCTGAAGGAGGAGCTTCTGGAGGAAATTCATCCTTTGACGGTGATCATGATTCTGAAAGTGGAACTTCTGAAGGCAGAGGTGACCCAAATTTTGAAGATGGTATTTCTGAAGGTAGTGACTCTGACTCCGATGGTGATTCAGACTCTGGGAATTTTCCAGACTCTGAAGGCAGTCAAGGTTCTGGAGAAAGTCCAATTTCTGAAGCAAGAGCTTCTGAAGGGGAAAGTTCTGGTGTCCGAGGTTATGAAGTTCAAATTCAGAGGCAACAAAGAGTCAGAAGCATCTCAAAAAGATTTGCAGAGTTTGACATGTTATAAAACACTGAAGTAGACTCCGAAGGAGAAGTTATTCAGTGTGCAACGTTAGTAGACTCTGAACCCGTGAGTACGAAAGAGGCTCTTAAGCAGCAAGTCTGGTTGCAGGCCATGAAATAAGAACTTGATGCTATAGAGAGAAATAAGACTTGGAAGCTGACAGAACTTCCAAAAGGCAAGAAAGCCTTCAGCGTTATATGGGTTTTCAAGCAGAAGCTAAAGCCAGATGGATCAATTGGCAAACACAAAGCAAGATTAGTAGTAAGAGGCTTTCTACAAAAGCCTGGGTTGGATTACCCTAAAGTTTTTGCACCTATAGCGAGACATGAAACAATCAGACTAGTGATTGTAATAGCTACTAACAGGAATTGGCCTCTGATGCATTTAGATGTAAAATATGCATTTCTGAATGGTTCATTACAAGAAGAGGTATACGTCTCACAACCTCTTAGATTTGAGAAAAAGAATCATGAAGGGATGGTGTTTAAATTACACAAAGCTTTGTATGGATTGAAGCAAGTGCCCAGAGCCTGAAATCTGAAGATTGGTTCATTTTTCAAGGGACAATGGTTTCAGAAGTGTGAGATGGAGTATGGTGTTTATGTTCAGCACACTTCAGAAGGTAATATGATTCTGGTCTGTTTGTATGTTGATGACATATTACTCACAGGAAGTTTTGAACAAGAGATAGATGAGTTCAAGAAGGTTCTGATGGATGAGTTTGAGATGACAGATCTTGGGAAAATGAGTTTCTTTCTAGGGATGAAATTTATGTATTCTGAAAAAGGAATCATTTTGCATCAGATGAAGTATAAACTTGAGCTTCTAAAGAGATTTGAGCTAGAGAACTGCAAAGTTTCTATCACACCTGCTGATACGAATCAGAAGTTGGAATCTGATTCTGATGGAGATGATGTAGATGCTACAACCTTCAAACAGATGGTTGGTTCTCTGAGGTATTTGTGTAATACCAGACCTGATATTTTCTATGCAGTTGGAATGGTTAGCAGATTTATGAGTAAACCAAAGTGGTCTCATTACCAAGCTGTTATCAGGATTCTGAGGTATGTGAAGGGAACTCTGAAGTATGGAGTGTTATTTCCTTCTGGAAGATAGATCGAATCAGAACTTCTGAGTTATTCAGACTCTGATTGGTGTGGAGACAGAGTTGACAAAAGAAATACTTTTGGGTACTTATTCAAATTTCTAGGAGGTCTTATTTCTTGGTGTTCCAAGAAGCAACATGTTATTGCACTGTCAACATGTGAAGTTGAATATATTGCAGGAGCTATGTCTGCATGCCAAGCTGTGTGGATTCTAAGCTTACTGCAAGATCTGAAGATTGAGGTAAATAAACCTCTGAAGCTGATGATTGATAACAAGTCTGCAATCAATCTTGCCAAGAACTCAATGCTGCATGGGAGAAGCAAACACATTGAGACCAAGTATCACTTTCTGAGAAATCAGGTTCATAATGGAATATTAGAAGTTGTGCACTGTAGCACTCAGAAGCAGCTGGCAGATGTTCTGACAAAGGCTATCAAGACTGATCAATTTCTTCGTTTGAGGGATGAAATTGGTGTTGTCAGTTTTGTGTAAATATAAATTAAGGGATGGTGTTGAAAATAATTTATATTTTAGGAATATCTAAGAATATCTTCTTATATTTTTTTGGATCTTTGTTAGAGGGTATTTTAGTATTTTATAATACCCTAATTTTGTGTATAAATAGTCTAATAGTAAGTAGGTCAATATAATTTATTATAAATTTATTATTCCTTATTCTATAACCGTTATTAAATATATTCTTTTTTATCTTTCATTTCTCCTTATTTTCTCCTTATGTACCAACAAAAATATCTATATAATTTTTTTTTTATAATAGATAATTGTAATTTATAATATATATTCTACGACTAGCTTGATGAGCTGACACTGATAGTTGTCACTACAGCCGCTTTATAATAAACTAATTGTAACAAATTCATTCAAGAGTTTCAGTTTTGAATAAATAACAAACTCTCTCTTCTCACTATGCTGCTCTTATCTTTTTTTTATTAATGATTAAACTTATACTGCTATAAAATATTTTGATAATATGAACGGATATGAATTAAAACCTCATCATCGTTATGTTAGTTGCATTTTTGCTTCTAAATATCACAATTGTGTATTTTTTAGATTTAATTATCATTTGATAAAACATTTAGTTTCTTAAAAAATTATTATTTATCAATAAAAAATTAATTTAGCTATATATGTTGTTTCTGAAAATTTAGTGAGCTATATTTATCCATTCTAAAAGCTATATTTACGAAGAACAAGTATGTGACGTGTAAATTAAAAGATAAACGTAATAATAAGTTTAATATTTTTTCTGAATAATAATAACAAGTTTAAATTTAAGTCAGCTTTTTTTACAGTAAGTTAATTGAGTAAGGTTAAATCATAGTCGACATTCTAGGAATTTAGTTTTTTCTAGTTCTGAATAACCTTAAATCACGCGCAACCACAACAAAACATCATAAAACTCCGCTAAAATAACCCCATCTCTTTAGCTTCTTTGGACACGTCACCACTTTGCACACTTTCAGCACACTCATCCTTACTCACTGAAATCCCAAAACCACCCCTATTCCCATTTTCACATTGTCTACGTGTCACAACTCTATTGACTAACAAACTCTCCTCCTAACGATTTTTATTTTTGCTATGCATGTAACAAATTCATCCTAATAAATCTTTACCTTAATTAACCACCTCCACAAAATCATAACAATCTAAACCGTTTTTGTTTTTATTTTTAAATTTTATTTTTCTAATTTGTTTAGGTCTGTGTTAATCCATTTACAGCAAACCCTTATATATAATTCTTCATAACTATGTACCTAATTTTCATTTTGTTTTATATTCTTGTGATTTTGTTACATTTCTTTCATAATCAAAAACCATGAGTCCCTCACAATTTCATGCTAAGAAAGAACTCACCCCAATCGTCACAAAATCCAACATCAACAACAACGTTAATGGAATGTTACCACCACATTTGAAAATCAATAGAGATTCTCATTTCATTAAAAAACCATCTTCATCGCCACCATCATCGTCTTCGTCGTCATCGTCGACATCATCGACGATGATCAATAGCATGGCAGCATCGAATAAACCACCGCAACAACATCGTCACCCTGTGATAATCTACACTCATTCTCCGCGTGTCATCCACACGGAGCCTAAGGACTTCATGGCATTGGTGCAAAAGCTCACCGGACTCTCTCGCTCGGAGGAAAAAGACGACGGGAACAATATTGTTCCGTCGTCTCAACATCAGCCTTTGAAACAAGAGTCCGTCACGAGCAATATGATGGTGGGAGACAAAGAGAATGATCAGAAGAAAGTTGTCGTCCTCAGAAACGAGGACAATGACACATCGTCGTCTGTGATCACGGACGAGAACATTTATGGTAACAACATTGGAGAAAATCGGGAAAATCAATGTTTCGTTGCTTCGGAGTCACCAATGTTTGAGCCTCAGTTTAACCCCTACATGACAAACTATTTGGCATCGAACGAGTTCTTGTACTCGAGTCCACCGTTATTGAACTACTCAGATTCATTTTTCTCTCACAACATGATAGCCTCTCTTCCAAACTCTAACACCTTGGAAGGGATGAATGAGTTTGGTGACTATGGACTATAGTTGAGGTTTTTCTCTGGTTTGAATTTTTTGTGCCAATAAAAGTTCTAGTTTTCCAGGATAGAACTTCATTTTCTTTTTTGAAGAGTCAATAATACTTCTTTGTTGTAGACAAAAAGTTGTATCTCTTTGGAGATTTAGTATTCCAGTTATTTTTTTCATAGTGAATTTCTTAGATTTGTGATTCAGAATAATAAAGAAAGTTTTTGCTTCCTATGTTTCTACCTCTAATTTCATTGCTATTTCTGTTAGTTTTTAAGAAATTTCACATCCTTTTTTGGTTGAAAATAGTGCACTAAACTTTATACTATTTACATGTTACATTGATTATAGAAGAAGAAAATTATTTCAATCTAATATATATATATATATATATATATATATATATATATATATATATATATATATATATATATATATATATATATATATATTAAAACCATGCTCAAAGTTTTAAATTGAAAAATAAACTATGCTCAAAGTTTCAAACCATAAAATTCTATGCAAGATTCATTTCATTTTCTAATCACTTTACTTCCACTGTTGTGTTTTACCTTTCAAACATTTCTCTACATATGAGAAGTGAACCGAAATCCCTGCGGTAAAAAATATCACGCGGTCTCGTGCAGTAACAAATTTCGGCCACTGATTTAAGATAATATGGTTTATATTACTCTGCCAGTATATTAATTTTAAGTGATTTCAATTCAACCATCGATTTAAGAACAAACGGTGAGATCTATAACTGAGTGACAATGTTACAGCAGAGAATCTAAGCATTCAACACAAACATGTACATATTTTCATCATCATTATCGTCACTTTCTTTTCTTGTCCTCTTTATCTCTTTCGAGTTTAACAGGAGCAGCTGGTATGCTGAACCACCATTCCTTCAACCTTCTCTCCCATTTCTCCGTGCTAGCCTTCCTTGGAGGCGAATACATCGTAAATATCCCCAAGAACAATAGAAGAACTACGTATTTACAGGGTAAGAAAGCCAAAACCAATGCTGCTGTTAGAAGACCAAATGCCATCCTCTCCGTGGCCTGATATAAAAATTTAAAAAAACAATTATTACAATTTACAATCCTTTCAAGAGAAAAGTAACGATTGGAGTAGGGAATGAGAGAGCACCTGAGGAAAAATAGAGAATACCAAGCCGCGGATCTTGAGAAGAAATATGTTACCGTCTTGTATGAGCTGTTCGGCTTGAGAGATAGCATTCTGAACAGCTAAAAGCTGTTCCATTGTATTCATTGGTGGAGGTGCTACTACTTTGATTTCGGTTACAGGCCTACCTTGATTAAAACATCGGGTAAGTATCATAAAAATTGAAAGGAACACGAGAAATAGTGCTGCTGCATAGCCAAGCCAACCCCTGCAATTTATAATAAAATTATTTAAGTTATCAAAAGAAAGACAATGTTTGGATTGCTTATTTGGGCTTATCAACTGATATAAGCACTCATGAGACTTATTGAAAGAGATTATGGAAATAACTTATGATATGTATATAAGCCGTTTTAAGCTAATTTTCATAGGCTCTCAAGAATAATTTATGACAACAGCTTATAATATATGAAAACAATTTGACCTTACTTTATCTTGTTATAGAAATAACTAATATATAAACACTTTTTCATAAGCGCTTCTGCTATAAGTGCAACATAAGCGCTTAATTAAGTTGAGGATCCAAACAAGATTGATAAAAGTGAGACATCAGAATAATTTGTTTTTCTTAAATTACTTATCATCCATAATTGTTACCCTTAAGATACTTATCTGATTGTATAACAATAAAGTTTCAATAGAAATTGTTTATTCTCTCCCTCATTTCAACAAATAACATGTCAATATAAAATATTAATCGGCCTATGAAAATTTTACCTCCAGATAATGTAACCGAAGAACAAACAAAATCCTGAAGACTTCAATGGATCATCCCAATATGCCAAAGATTGAAGAGACTTCCTAAGTTCGTCTAGAGGATAAAGTAGTTCCTGAAATTAGAGAAAATGACACATATTAGACACAAAATAAGATTATTCATGGAATCGGGGTTTTTTATTCCGAATTTGGAATAAACAGGAGCAGTGAAATCAATCATGTAGAATATCGGCGGTAAAGCACTGTCGTATTGTGGCAGATGACTGTCATAGGAGCTCATTCGTAACTTATTGCGTGTCACATCACAACCACTATAGTGGAAAGATTCAGCTTTCACAGCTTCCAATATTGGCTTGAGATTGGCTTGAGATATGCAACTTATTGTGATAATTATGAGTAGCAGCCACAAAGCCATAGGATTCAAAATGCACTTATGCAAGTGAAATTGGCATTCTACAATTTGGCTTCACTACATTACTAGGTGCATTGGAAATTCATGCACATTACATGACCTGCTCAAACGCTTGCACATGTTAACACATTTTCCAATCAAGAATAAGTACTAGCCACAATCAATTGTATATCTTTATACAATCAAACTGAAATACCCTTTTGTTTGAGTAATAGTCACCAATAATCTATGCAACAGACACTTTATAATGAAGATGTGCCTGGCATTCAAAATGTGTCAGTGTCCGACATGGATCGGACACAACAATGGCATGTGTAATTACATTCAATTATTTTCATTTCTTAAATTATTACTCATGTCTGTGTGTCAGTGCTTCACAGCCAATAACACATAAGAGCTTGGCTAAAAGGTTAAAATGGATAATGGATTAGTACCTTCATGACAGCCAAATTTGTGTCAATGCCATCAACTTTAACACCGTCAACGGTTGCCTGTGCGGATACGACTTTTTTATAATTGTTCTTAGATTCTTTAACCACTCTTTCCAACGAAGTCATTTCTCCAACAGTTATTTCACCTACAGCAATTCTTCTGCTCTCTTTTGAGTTGTTTGAACTTGTTCCAAATACGAATCCTAGGTTTGAAACCATGTCCAACACAGAGACAGAATACATTCCGTTTTCGGGTTTGGAATCATTCACGTGATCCGACTCCCTTGAGTTCCACATATTTACAAGGGTTTCTAATATCAAGTCTCCTCCTGGAAGTTGATCACATAAATTAAACATGAGAAGCGAATTATTCTCTATAGGGCCTAAAGAACTAATATCTTGGATTGCTTGTAAACGCAAAATTCCTAAAACAGCTTTCCAAATTGCTTCGTCTCGTGCGACCCCTTTAAGTTCGTACTTGCGTATGACTTGGTGAACACATAGAATCTCTCTGATGATAGCTAGCCAATAATCACGACGAGCGTGACCTTTAAGCTCTGGAAATTCTAGTACAGCTGGTTCTGATCTACAAGAGAAATAGAATTTAAAAGTTGATAGCAAGATAAACTTCTGCAGTTATCAATTATCTATAAAAAAAACAATAGTGAAATTACTTACAAGGTTGCTGAACTATAGAATACTGCTTTGTCGAAAAGTCGAGTACCCCATGGTCCAGTTAACTCGGGTTTAACAACTTGGTCTAGATCATCTGATAAATCATATCTTTTGGGTTTGTCATACGATACAACGCGAAGTTCTTCAAAATAAAGTGCATGATCTGTCAAGATTAACCTTCCTGCATGCATGTTACAAAAAGTCATTAAAGTCTTGAAGAGTGAACAATGCTTGTTTTTACTGCATCAGCAATCTGTAGCACCACCAATGTAGTCAAGCACGAGACCTTAAGTAGGATCTGTCGGCTTGTGAAAGATCGTAAGACTCGGATCATTAACACGGCACAAAAGATCCTACCAAAGGGAAAATGGTAACTTCATACACGTATATACACGCACATACACAAACACATGAAAATTATAATACAGGCCCAAAAAAAAGCCTAAACACGTTTTTTTTATGATCTTGCTTCAAAAAGCTCGATCTTGACCATGCCAACGATGAAAACAATCTTTCTCTGATTGTAGCACTCTCAGGCATCCTTAGCACGTAAGATCTTACAATCTTACGATCCAACACTCGATCTTGACAACATTGGCACCAACACATGTCAGTTTCCGACATTGACACGACGCCAACAGACGTAGCTACACTCAATTAAACCATTTTCTTAAATTATTATCAATATCAACATGTATGTGCCAATGTCGAGTCCTGTGACCGCACTTTATAGTCACCCGAGTTTATATTATATATAATGGGAACATATGTTTAAGAAAGATGGTATTTAAATGCATATTTTTACACTTACCAGGCCAAGTGGAAATCCCTACATGCTCAAGAACTGGCTGTGTGGTGACTGTTCCATCAACCTCGAGAATCTTCTCATGCCTATTCAGTCTTATAGCAAAAAGGAGAGACGACTCTGAATTGCTCTTCATTTTTTTTATTGCTCTGAAAAGATTAAAATATTTAAAGGTAGAGAGAGGTATTACGTCGTAAATGTTTGATCATAACTATACATAAACTATTACTGAATTCCAGACAAGGAAAATCAATGACATATTTAAAGGTAGAGGTTATTACTTCTCTATCCCGCTGAGGTACTTATCATAGACGGAGAACAAAAGGCGACCACCAGTTGACAAACTCAGCACCTCAAAAAGATTTTCGCAAATAATGACATTGGCAATGATGGGAACTGCAGGAGCAATTCGACAAAAAGCTTCTAATCCAACAGACACATCTTCATCAACCTTCTAATAAATTGAGGCTCATTAGTGTTACTAAAAGAACTACAAACAAACATATAGATAGAATGCAAATGTATAATACAAAAGTACAGATAACCAAAAAGGCATGAATTATGAAGTAAGGCAAGACTCAAAGAAAAATCTCACTCGTATTCTGAAAGACATACATTAATCAAAGGTTGGCTAGTGGCAGCCGGGACCTCCCAAGCTAGCATCATGTCGTACGTCAAGCGCCGGAATGTTTTATCAAGTAGATGCCCAGACATTTGTGCTCTCAATGAAAGTGCTTTGAAACAACAATACTCCAATAAGTTCCTCGCATATCGTGATGGAATCTTTATGGAATCAGATGCCTCTTGATTGAAGCTCTCCTGAAGATCACTCGAAGGGGTCTTAAGGATCCTGCATTATTTGTTTCTAATTACTATTTAATTTCCAATCAAAAAATTATGGGACAATCATTACATTGTCTCTCCCAACAGTGTATCAAACAAAAATAAACGTTAAGAGCTATGTAGCACCGACACCTCTAAAAAATGGTGAGTCCGTGTCCGTGTCCGTGTCGGACACCGACACTTATACCGTCACTTGTGATTACCTTTAATTTAATCATTTTTTTAAATTATTACCAGTGTCGACGTGTCGGTATCGATGTCGTGTCCGTAATGAAGCAATGTTGTTGCCAAGTAAACAAGATACCAAAAAATACACTTACTTTGAACATCTGCGCACGACTAGGTTTGCAACTGGAGAAAGCTCGCGTATAAAATTCTTCCCAGCAGAAGGTGAAGTTTCCATCTCCTCAAATTCGTCATCGAAAGAACTCTTCTTACCAAGCAACCATTTAAGTGATCCATCTTTTACCAGACCTTCAAACATAGTTCTGGTCTTTCCGGCTGCCGCCATCTCTTTTTACCCTACTATACTATCTTGTCAAGTTGGAAAACAAGACACCTAATATCAAGTTTTTGTCAAAGCTCTTGCATTACCTGAAACATAAAGGTAAGGTAGTAAACAAAATGAATATTGAATCACATCAATATAAATCCTCAAAACTAGATCATCATCATCATCAAACTCGTAACCCTAAATTAAATGTCGCAACTCCTCCAACACAAACGTTGTCAATCACATCACTATTGAAATCACATCAATATATCAATGTAAATCCTCAAAAATAGATAATCATCAAAATCTTGAATATATTGAGTACGAACATTACAACGTTTGTGGGTTGTTCAGATTCTGCTAGCTGCATCGCAATAGCTGCTATTTGACAACACTACACTAGAATTTGAGCAGAGTGATCATATTTATAAATCAAAAACATTTCTAACAAATTCTGAAAAGTTTCAAGAGTTATACAACAAAAATCAGGAATTACAATAGACAGTGTGCCCATTAACCCAAAACAGAAAACATGCATAAGGATACTAGACACACAGACACTTCAGATTGAATGCATGTTTGAACTCAAGAGCACTTAGACGAAATGGCACGAATCTCTTCTAACTTAACCAAAGTCCCGGGTTCGAACCTGAGCTTAGGAATGCAGCAGCATCAAAACTCTTGCCAATTAGGATCCCTCGAGATTTGAGGTATTAGTCTCCGCAATTGCACGCAGATGATACCTGGTTTACATAAATATTATATCGTCATGTCTATGTTTTATATGTAATAAACACAATGGTGCTCACCAAATACAATTATTTAACAATTTCAATCTCAAAAAGCATACACAAACACAACAAATACTCATCATGATTCAAAAATAAACCAAACAAATTAAAAATAAATCACCCCAAACTTGTAGCTCAGAGCAAAAACAAACCCAAGTGACCCACATACAAATGCGGAGTAAAAATTTCAACTTTGGCAAATGGGGTAGCTTCAAATCGCGAGAATTTAACAAATAGCTAATAAATTCGAATAATAATAACGAAAAAGATTAACAACTAGGTAAGTAAGTTGGTTAAAGAAATCCAAAGTAATGAATGAAACAAGTCCGAATTGGGGTGAAGTTCGTGAGAGGGAAAAGAAGAATAAAGCATGAAATTGGAGAAATTGTTTGTGTTTCTGAAGGGGGAAGAATTCAAGTTCTTACCTTTTTCTCAGATAGAATCAGAAATTGATGATTGCGTGTGTTTCTCTTTTCATCTATTCTTTTTCGTCTTTTTCGGATATGAATCAACTTCTATTATAATTTAATTGATTCAATCAATTCAAATTATCAAAATATCAATTATCAATTATAAAAAATAAAATAAAATAAGATATTAAAATTAAATGATAAAAAAAACAAGAGTTGATTTTCAATTAAATCTTATTTTTAACATATTGATTCTTTTTATTTATTTTTTCTAAAATGTTCATTTTTGAATTTTAATTTATGTACAACTTTATATATATAGTTGTTTTGGAATGTATCAAATAGAAGAATTTTTAAAATAAGAGATAATTGATTTGATGAAGTTACTTGTAATTATAAAATCATTAATATTTTTATGTAGTGTGATACATGGGATAAATTATGGTAAATATTTTATATGAGAACAAATTTTAAAATTTTTTATTGATTAAATAGTTGAAGTACATAGAAATTAATGATGAAGTAATGAGTCAGAATAATTAATATTAAATATTAATTAATATATTAAATAATATTTATTAAAAAGAAAAAAAGAACAATATAATTAAAAACTGTTTAAATAGAATTTTATTTAAAATTTGACGCTTAAATATATATTTTATTTTAATATATTAAGGATATTCATCAAAATTATATATTTAATTTAATAATTAATATTTAATCTTCTTATTTTTTATTTTAAAAACTCTTATTTAATTCATCTTCATAGTTATCTTTTAGTATTATTATTTTTTAATTTAAAATGTTACAACGTGGTGTTATGTATATTGTGATGGAATATATTGTTCAGAATAAAGTGATAAAATATTAACTAGATTAAATTAATTCATGATAGTATGGCCAAGTATTCAAAGTCCAAATGAAATCTAAGATTGATAAGTTTTTTAATTAATTTGGTAGAGGTGGTGGCCAAATTAGGGTTTGGTATAGTTGGGTGTATTTAATGAATGATAGGGGTAGAATGGTTCACTTGTATTTTATTCTCTCATTTTCTCCTCTATTAATTTCCACCAATCTACCTGTCATCTTCCTTCCATATCTTACTTAACGAGGAAACAAATGTTGCACAATACTAAACTACCTATTAACGGCTAGTTTCAAATAACTACTAGTTGCTAATCATTGAATAATGAATTTAATATCCTCCTTCAAGCTTGGAGTAAATTTTACTAATGTCCAACTTAGAAACAATAAGAGAGAAAGGTGTTGGATTCAAATGCTTTGGATGTTAGTCTTTTATGCAGCAGAGTTAGGTTTTTATTGATAAAATTAGTAGATAGTTGATGACTTATAACTGATAGTCGGTAGTTAATAGTTGATAATTAATAATTGATAGTTGTTATACGAGTGATAGTCTTTTAATTTGAGTATTTGATAAATTAGTTGTTATACGAGTTGATAAATACCAAATGATATAAAAAAACATTCTTAATTAAGAAATTGATGGTTTCATTATAGTATTGTATTATATATTTAAATTAATTTTTATAAAATAAAAATAAATATTCTAGCAAACACATGCAAAAAAAAAAAATATATATATATATATATATATATATATATATATATATATATATATATATATATATATATATATATATATATATATATATATATATATATATATATATATATATATATATATATATATATATATATATATATATATATATATATATATATATATATATATATATATATATATATATATATATATATATATATATATATATATATATATATATATATATATATATATATATATATATATATATATATATATATATATATATATATATATATATATTAAAATTAAAAATAACAACAAAATATATCGAACAATTATATATAAATTTTTAAATGAATATATATAATAATATTTATATATAAATTTAATGAGATATATAAAATAACATCATTATGATTTTGAATTAAATTATATTAATCTAAAATAATAATAAAAATAAGTTTATTGTCTATTTTACGGTAAAACTCCAATATTATTACGAATCTTCTTCGTCGTCTTGATAATCTCCTAATATTTCACAAACTTAAGAATTAGCAGCACTATCTCTAAATTCATTACAAAGTATGTAATTTGAATGTTGTTAAAAAACCATTAAATATTGCATTTTCTTGTTAATCGACACTGGTCGTACCTGACCAAAGTAGATCGTCAAGGCCTACGAGTTGTGTGTTGAGCAGCGACTGGAAGTAAGTTGGGGGTACCTGCAAGACACTCTAATGCCAAAGTAAGGTTCAGAGCAGTGCGAATAAGTATGAGAGTGAGTATGAAAGAATGAATACCTGACCCTCTCAAGAGAGAGGGTATTTATAGCCCCTAGCACTGGGTCAAGGTCCCCATCATTGAGCTGAGCAAGCAGGCCCAAAACAGAGACTATCAGGTTCTACGTGTGCAGTGGGGCCAGCACGTGGTCCCTAACTTGGATGGATTCCCCCGAATTGTCAGGAGGATATGGATGCGGTCTTTTCAAGACCAAGAAGACTCTGTGATATCCGGGGGTGTGGTGAGTTAACCCTAGTAGGAGGGTGTTCGCGATGTCTTTGTGTCGTCGTGGACCCTCCCCGCCAGTTGTTGGCTTGGAATTTCGATTACAGCGGTTGTTTGAACACATTAATATCGTGGTGTTTGGGCTTCATTTGAATTGAATTGAGTAAAAGACCAAGCGTTTGAAATGGTTTGATGGACAGACAAAACAAATATAATAAATATCTGTTAAGTATATTTTGAAATCGAAAGTTTTTGGATATATACGTCGAAAACTTGGCGCCAACAGAAAAGAGGAATTTGAATTTGAAATTGAATGTTTGAGTCATATGAGACGCGTGGAAGTCTGATGAGTTCGAAGGACATGCAATCTTCGAACGTGGCACTCTATTATAGAAAGATCGTTAGGGTCAAATTAGTATAAATAAGGATCTTAATGTTAGGATTCAGGGTGTTTATTTTGTACAAATTACTCAATATACTCGAAGTACCAAGTGTTAGAGAAAAGAGTTACAGAAAAATGTACGTATAGACACCATTATTGTTCTTTTCGAATCATTTTACTTTATCAATATCAAGTCTTTTAACATTTCCAGCATTTCCTTTACTTTTTATTCAAAACTTTTACTTTTTCAAGTCATTTACATTTATTCTGCATTTCCTTTACGTTTCTTTACGTTTCCAATCGAAACTTTTGCATTACTCATTTGAAACTCTTTTATTCGAACTTACTTTAAATTATAATTTTAATCTTTATATTGTTATCAACAAAATAATGTTAAACATGAATCCCATTACAAGTTTAATCTTAGAAACTTAGACACATGTTCTAGGATCAATCTAGTCGATCCTACAAGTTACCAAAGTATTTAGTTTGGAGGACTAGCGGTTGTTTACCAAATTCACGCGTAAACAAATTGACACGCCTAGTGAGACAGTGTCAAAGTTTTTGAAAACTTGTATTTTTTTGTGAGCGTCTATCTTTCGTCATTCATCTTTTGAGTCTGTTTTTCGTTATTGTTGTATGAACCTTAGAAGTGGTAAAATAGCCAACAGTAACCAACCAAAACCCAAAAGAAAATATACAAGAAAGATGGGTAACACAACTAGCCATGACGGGGAACAAAATCCCCCACAGGGATCAGGCACGGTTGTTGCAAGTTCGATGGATACATCAACCACAATCCCTCACACACATGCTATACCTACATCTATAAGTTCGGTGGCCACAAATAATTCGACAACCAT